AGTACTTTTCACAATATTTTTTTGGAAAGAAAAAAAAAGAAAAAAGACGGTAAAAATTACTGGGTTAAATATCACTAAACGCCTTGTTTTAACGGTAGCTTTGAGATGAATAGAAATGTAAAAACAAAAATGTATTTAAAAAAAAAACTTCCAAAATATTTTTTGAAAAGAAAAAAACAAATTACATATCAGTATGAAGTTGGTATATATGCGTATATGGTTTCTTGCTTAGGTATGTTTGGTTATGTTAGTGTGCAATCTGTTGCATGGTTGTAGAGTTGTGTTAGTGTGACAACGGTGGAAAAAATGAAAATGGAAAAAGATTTTATTTCTTTTTACTATTATTATTATTATTATTTTGTTTGTTCTTAAATGAATCTGCAGTCTACTTCTCAGGGTCACAACCAATCACCTTTACTCTTTAGGAAAAAAATGCAGATTTACTTGACGGCTGATGATTCTTTGTGCGTGCTCGGACTTTTTCCAGTTCTGTCCCAGCGAGCTTTCCCTCGTGAAAATGCTTGTGAGAATTAATCGACTTTTAGTTTTAGTTTATCTCGGTCCCAGGATTGTGAAAATGAACTTTAGACGCTCTCAGTCGACTGTTGGAAATCCATCAAGATGGAGAGAAGCTGTTGGTCTTTTTCAGCTATGTTTATATTTTACCTAACATGGTTTTAGAAATGTACTTTATGCTTTTTAACTATTCTATTTTCCATGTTAACTTAGTTACATTTTGCTAAACTGTTAAAATATTTAAACCAAAAAAGTAGCAATGATCTTTAACCTTTAACCTGTTGTAATACTGATTTTTTTGTTGTTGTTGTCGACGTCGTTGTTTAACTTTTAACTGTTTGTTGGCAGTTCTCGGTCTTGGTGCTCTGAAATGGTGGACTGTGATGTTTAACGCGTCTGCTGTTGGGAAAGTAGAGCCCAGGCTGAGTCACCACGCTGCAGGAGACAACAAACGATCCATCGTACAGAGTGACTGAATCAGGTGAAGCACATTTCTGTCAGGAAAACAAAATAATAGATGAAAAGTTGGGATTAAAAAGATAAAAACAGGCATGGTGAGTCGAAGTTATGAGATGGAAAGACAAAAATGTTACTTTAAAGGTCCAGTGTGTAGGACTTAGTGGCATCTAGTGGTGAGGTTGCAGATTGCAACTAACTGAAACTCTTTACGTGTGCCAAACGTGCACATGTTGAACTACATGTTGAAAATGTCCCGTTCATACAGAGGTAATTTCGGCGCTGTTACTACCTCTGCTCCAGAGGCGTGAAATTCCCATCTTGAAGAGGCTGTGTAAAAGCGGCTTATTACTTTAAACAGCAAAAATTTAATTTACTATCTCATGATTTTGATTTATGTCAAACTATTTTGCATTTTTAATTTATTAACTTAGAATTAAAATTTTAATTACTGCATGAAATTTTGAGTTAAAATTAAGTGAATCTTTTTAAGGTTATTTGACTTGCCTTTGTATCTCATGATTTTGATTTACTGTGAGTATTTTTATTTTTTATTCCAGACGTTTCTTCCTTATTTTTCTTTTCCTAGCAAAAATGAGCTTCCATAGAGGATCTCATGTTGAACCTTTAAATCTTAAACTTTTCTGAAGATGTATGAAAAATCTGGTGATAATGTTAAAACAGGTTAAAGACTAGACCTTTACACTTTGCTGTAAAGGTCAGGTCAGCTGATTTTATCGGTCAAATCAGACATAAAACACATCAGCAGTAAATGATTTCACTTTTAAAGGGGAGTGAATCCTGTTTGAAGATACACAGACACAAAATACAGCAGTCTTTGTAGTATAAACACACTTAGATTTTAAAGCTCAGTGAAGATCTAATCACTCTCTGCAGTGCTGATCCTGAATCTTCAGTCACGTCTGACTTCAGTTTGTCTCTGCGGTCGTGTTGATGGAACGGTAGCATTATTAAGAAAGCACTAACAAATGTTTGTTAGGCGTCTGTAAGGTTTTGCTGTAAATAATCGTATACGATAGTTGAGTGGTTCAATCTGGTGTATTTAAGATTTTCTTTTACTTCTCGAATGTTTCTCCCTTTCAGCTATCGAGCTTTGCAATCATGGACGATGTTATTTTGTGTTTTAAAAAAGGCAAACTTAAAGACAGAAGGGATCAGAGGGGACGGACGGCGATGTTCGTGTCCTCCTGCTGTCAGGAGCCTTTTGTTGTTTTGTTTTTTACTTCTCAGATCATCTCTCCATCATCAGACTAACAGGGATTTGTAATGTTTTTGTTCAATGCCTTGAAATTTGTGGATCTCGTGCCTTCCAGGTTGAAATGTTGTAATGACAATGCATCAATGAAGAACTTGAACTCACCGAGTGGACGTAATAAATAAAAACAAACAAACGGACATCAGAAACCAACTATGCACCACTCGGAGGACGCTTGTTCGCCCTCGCCACCGCCCGCCCAGCTTTTTATAATGACTCAACAAACCAGACAGAATGATGTAGCAAAACCTCCTTTCTCCTTGTTTATTTTAAGAAAAAAAGTGTGACGAATATTTTGTGGCATTTTTTATTTTTCACCAAGTGTTAGACTTTTTTTGTTGTTTTTTGTTTTTGTGTAGTTTACTGGAATAATACAGCACTTTGCCAAAAAGGAAAAAAAAGGTGTAGGAATTTTAGGGTTAACTTTTTATTTATCGACACGACTGGTCTCCATCTTTGTATTTTGGATGTATGACAGATCAATTCACTCTGTTCTGATGTCAAAACAAATGCTAATTAAAAAGTGGGGTCATCTGTTTTCGAACTGTAATAGTTAATACATGTGATCTCTTATTAGCCTATAATAAATGTTTTCATACACAGCTCTCCTGTCGCTCTCTGTTTCTGTTTCTTCAGCCCTCTATAGACGATGAAATAAAACAGCATCTCACCGTCTTCATCAATGAACAGCGGTTTGATCATGTGACAGTTTTAGCAGAGTTTCAGTTTCAGTAGTACTTGACATTTGAGGCAGGATGTTACGCCTTGAAGCTGCTGGCCAGATGTGGGCAAAACATTTCATAAACAAAAAAAAAAAAAAAATCATATCTATACAAAACATTCAAATGAAGAAAATACACATCCAACACAAAGAGCACATAATCATGTCTTCTACTGTTGCACCATGTTCACCTTATGACTTAGTGTTAGCTGTTGCCAGTGGTGGAGACTGAGTATTAACATCCTTTGGTAAAAGTCCCAATATTAAAAAAATCTCTTTTATCAGTAAAAGTTCTCCATATAGAAGCACTTAAAATATCAAAAATAGTTCAGTAGTGTATTTGTACGACACATTGTTAGATTATTACTGTTGCATTAACAGTATTTAATACTGTAGCTCTTCTTAATCCACAGTAATGTTACAATAATATCTGTACTGTTATCGTACTATCTTAATTATCTTAACTACAGCACCTATTGTATGTGTTATTCTTACTTATTATTTACATATTGTGCTGCACACTGTAACAGTATACACATACTTTATATTTATAACTTTACATCCTAGTTTTACACACTGTAATGTAGCACAAGGCATTACACACTTTACATACTCAGCACATTATACATGTTTTATATTTTAAAATATGTTTTAAAAAAGAAATTAACAACACTTATAAAAAGCAAAGGATAAAAATGACAACTGCTTAGTTGAACAAGAGCTCCAGACTAAGAGGCACTACAAAATTGTTAAAGCTGCACAATTTACAATAAATAAATAAATAAATAGATAAATAATTACAAATAAATCAATTAAGTGTTCAGAGTCGTTGCACATCAGAGTCCTTTTCAGATGTCTTTTGAATAATGATAATGTAGATGATGATTGTAGAGATGGAGGAAGGTTGTTCCAAAGAGATGCTCGTCTGTATTTCAGTGAATATAGATTAAGATTAAAAATGATTGATCATCCTTCTTATTTCTACTTCTGTAACATCAGAGCAACTGCAACGAATCACAATAAAGTCACATTTCTGATTCTGACATACTTTAATAGAGTTTTTGGTTTTCTTATTTTATTGTTCTTTTTTACACTTAAACTTTCTTTGTATGCTTCACGCTGCTGCAACTCTCTTAAAATCTTACTTGATTTTATGATTTATAGTTTTACAACTCTGTAATTTTATGAATCAGTTAATTCATGTTTGAAACTGATTTTAAATGTCCTTTAATATTGAACTGCTTTGTCTGTTTTATCTCCATTATGACTTATACTGCCCTTATTGTAAAGCACTTCTGCTGCATTTCTTGTATGAAAGCTGCATATAAATA